AAACCTTAGAAAAATCAGTCTTGAGATATTTCTTGGCCCAGTCTTGACGTTTCAGCTTGTGTGTCTTGTTCAGTGGTGGTCGTCTTTCAGCCTTTCTTACCTTGGCCATGTCTCTGAGTATTGCACACCTTGTGCTTTTGGGCACTCCAGTGATGTTGCAGCTCTGAAATATGGCCAAACTGGTGGCAAGTGGCATCGTGGCAGCTGCACGCTTGACTTTTCTCAGTTCATGGGCAGTTATTTTGCGCCTTGGTTTTTCCACACGCTTCTTGCGACCCTGTTGACTATTTTGAATGAAACGCTTGATTGTTCGATGATCACGCTTCAGAAGCTTTGCAATTTTAAGAGTGCTGCATCCCTCTGCAAGATATCTCACTATTTTTGACTTTTCTGAGCCTGTCAAGTCCTTCTTTTGACCCATTTTGCCAAAGGAAAGGAAGTTGCCTAATAATTATGCACACCTGATATAGGGTGTTGATGTCATTAGACCACACCCCTTCTCATTACAGAGATGCACATCACCTAATATGCTTAATTGGCAGTAGGCTTTCGAGCCTATACAGCTTGGAGTAAGACAACATGCATAAAGAGGATGATGTGGTCAAAATACTCATTTGCCTAATAATTCTGCACTCCCTGTATTGCAGTAATAGTTAAACTATGTTTAAATTAAGATTCCCATGCTGTCGTTTTCATTTTACTACGACGGTTCCATTTAGTTAAAACTTATATATTGTCGATTAAATGCTGAGTAGCCTGGTTGGTTTGACTTTGTCGCCACCTTGTGGTTTGACAAGGTTGAGCGGCCAAAATCTGTTAATAGGCTTATTATATGTTTGTATATGTGTGTGTGTGTGTGTGTGTGCGTATATATATATATATATATGTGTATATATGTGTGTGTATGTAAAAAAACAGATACAATTCTTATCTTGTAATACCTTTTTTATTGGACTAACAGAATTTTTTAACGACAAGCTTTCGGGAGAACCTCCCTTTCTCAAGTCTGAAGCATTTCTGATCAAAACGACACATAGAATTCAAAGTTGAGTTGTGATACAGGGGTTAAAGCGACATGACTGCAGATAAGACACAGGTTTGTTAGAAAATAGACACCATCTTAGCAGAGGGTCATAAATATCTTGTTGAAGAGCAAAGTAGGGGGGAGAGGGGGAAAAGAAAAACAAGCAGACAGTGCACAGGATGGTACACTTTATACATACACACACACACACACACACACACATAAATATGTATATGTACACGCATAAACACATGTACATATACATAAACACATATATATACATACATGCACATGAACTCATATACACAAATATAAATGCACAGAAATATATATAAGCATTCGTGCATACGAGTATGGGAAAGCATAGGTCTACATATAGTACTTCGTATATAGATAGAATAAACATATAGGAATGCATTTTAAAGTGTTGGTACATATGACAGAATAGTAAGATAATGCTGGGAGAGTGTTCATGTAAAGTGTTGGTAGTGGGACAGGAATCCCAAATCAATATTTAGTCCTCTATTCTTGCTGTTAAACCATTTAATCATTCTGGCTTCAAAGGCTTTTCTTTCCTGGGTATTTTTTAAAAACCCTGATTAAATGGTTTAACAGCAAGAATAGAGGACCAAATATTGATTTGGGATTCCTGTCCCACTACCAACACTTTACATGAACACTCTCCCAGCATTATCTTATTATTCTGTCATATGTACCAACACTTTAAAATGCATTCCTATATGTTTATTCTATCTATATACGAAGTATTATATGTAGACCTATGCTTTCCCATACTCATATGCATGAATGCTTATATATATATATTACTGTGCATTTATATTTGTGTAAAGTTCATGTGCATGTATGTATATGTGTTTATGTATGTGTTTATGCGTTCACATATACATATTTATGTGTGTGTGCATGTATAAAGTGTACCATCTTGTGCACTGTCTGCTTGTTTGTTTTTCTTTTTCTCCTCTCTCCCCTACTCTGCTCTTCAACAAGATATTTATGACCCTCTGCTAAGATGGTGTCTATTTTCTAACAAACCTGTGTCTTATCTGCACTCATGTCTCTTTAACCCCTGTATCACAACTCAACTTTGAATTCTGTGTGTCATTTTGCTCAGAAATGCTTCAGACTTGAGAAAGGGAGGTTCTCCCGAAAGCTTGTCATTAAAAAATTGTTAGTCCAATAAAAAAGGTATTACAAGATAAGAATTTTATCTGTTTTTTTACATCTACATCACTGGACTAATACGACTACAATCTCTACTTGAACACTATATATATATATATATATATATATATATATATATATATATATGTATGTGTGTTCTTTACTCTGTACCTTCAATTGGGGTACTTTTAAGTGTCAGTGATTAACTACGGACAGTTATCCACGGTCTCGTGCATTTCTTGTTACTAACTACACTATTCAATAGTGTTTAAATGACATTGTTTTATATGTTGTTTCTCCCCTCTGTTAAGAAACACTATTTATGACACAGCGTACAAACAGAACTTTTGGTTAAACGCAACTACTACATTGTTAGAGTTCTGGCTATCACCCGCCAAATCTTCTTAAATCCTTTCCACGCATATGGTTAGTATATAACCTTTTGGTTGGAGGGGCAACATTTCTACGGCTGCTCCCAGGGATTAGATGGTAAATTAAATTTGTGAAATGTTTTAGGTTCAAGTAAGGATTGTTCTCTCCACTTCAGTATACGTCAGATAAGTCATTTATCAGGTATGTATACCGGTCAAACCCAGGCAAGGTTACCAGTAGGTTTAAGCTCTCGCCAAGTTAGGTAAGGTCCCATAGGCCTCTTCACTTAGCAGTCAAGTGGTCCCGCAAGGCATACTATCAACCATTTCGTTCAGAGGTTCATGCCCAATCGTCCCAATTCATAGTTAGAGCCTTGCACCAACTCATAGTTAGGGCCTCACCCGTCACGGCCAATAGTTATTACACCCTGTTAAGTGTCACCGAGAGGCCAACACCCCGCCACCCACCTCAGTGGCACAAAGGCCCCACGAGCCAAATCATAGGTAGAGCCTCTCATAGCCACTTGGCAAGTAGTCAGGGCTTCACCTGTCACCAACCTAAGCTAGTTAATACAATTTCGCCAGTAGGCACTAGCCTAGTAAGCTGGGTCACTACCGATCTATACGGTACCATACTAACCTTATCCATCTGCCTCACTTCCGTAGCATGTGTAACAATTCTAAACAAGGAGATGATTTGTCGGTGGCCAGCATTCCACTCAGATCAGGCTCGCAGAGACAAACCAATCCACCAAGTCCAGCTTCCAGCTATCGTTCCTGGACTATCCCTAAGATCACCTCAGAACTTACAGCCAGGAAAGCCGAACTGTTTAGGTTGTTAAATATTACTGAAGACAACGAAAGGCCAGGCCCTAGTTCTGATTTCAATGTGCGAAATAGCCTTGCAGAATTACACAACATGATGTAGCAACTATTAATAATAGATTGGATAATCTGGAGTCAAACAATATTACAACTGCTCCAGAGATTCCAGTGCCCGTTACTCGGCCCACACCTAACTCAGGAGTTAAAGATAACCCTCTACCAGCTAATAGAGCTACTAATATCATTAACCCCATTCATCTCATTCCTCAGTCTCTAAGAGGGGAAGGACATAAACTTGGCATCACTACTGATTGTATCTCAAGACGTGGTAGAAAACAGGGCCTATGCCTTCGAGGATCTGTCAGTAGTGATGAAGTCTAGAGATCCTAGACTAAATAGGAAACTCAACATCCGCAATTTTGAGTTGTACAGAGGTTGTACAGAGATGTGATCTGTACAGCTTTCCCACTCCGTAGAGAGGAACTTGACTTATACCTTCATAAAGTGGTTGCGTTAGCATACAAGTACGACGGCTATGCATTTTATGATTATCAGAAGTCATTTTCTTCCAGATCCGCAGCATCACTCTCCCAGTACAATACGAATACTGATTGGGCACAGCTAGACACAGAATTGTTTCTGATGCAGTTTGCAGGCCTTAAAATCCCTTCCTGCGCTCTATGCTCTTCTGCTGCTCATTCAGTAAATTTCTGTCCTGAAAACGTAGCGTCCCCCTCTACCAGTAGCGCCAATACTGGTTACCAATCCAACACAACACAGAGGGAAGTGAGAGACAAACTTGGTAGGCCTATTGTTTTTCTAGGTAAAGCACAAGTCTGCAACAATTTAATACAGGTAGACTAAATCCTAGACTACAGTTATAGTGCTTGTAGGCTGTTGCACGTATGCTCAATGTGTTTTAGAGCACATGCCAAAACAATGTGCCCCAACAGATTGTACCCTAACAAATCTTCCACATCAATAAACGTACCTAAATTGCAACACTACCTGTCTAATCATCCTTCTGTTCATTTGGTGGAATTTCTCACAGCTGGTTTTTCTTGAATTTAAGCGGCTGTAGCACCCTTTGGGTCCTCCTATTAACCCAAAAAAACAGATATGTTGATAAACACCACTTAGTGTGAAAACTAAGTTTAGATGCTAATCCCCTTAATGTACACACAGTGGAATAGTGCAGCGCTAGACAAAAGGCTTACCTATACAACATAGGGCGTTTCTCATATGTAGCCGGAAAAAACAAAGAATGGAGAAATACGTGATAGTGCAATACTGTTATAAACAATGGTATACACACTGAAAGTTATAAAAATGTATGCTCACAAATCAAGAGCCTTTTAGACACTGTGGCTCTGAACGTATGTGCTTGCGGTGCCTTTAAGGTGGCAACAGTAACCTTCTTGTTTGTCCCTTTCAAAAGTTCAGGTAGAGTAGATGTACATGGAAGACATAAACAAGTGGCAGGAGATAGTGCAGATGGTAATGAACTTTGAGGATTACAACTTTAAAGATAAAGTGAAAGTTGCTCACCTGATTCTGGAGCCCATAAGTGACTGGCTCCAAGTTTGTGCACCTACTTGCCAATATAAGGAGTGGCAAGGAACCCCCTTTTAAATCTGAATCAGCATGGAACAGATGGTCCAAGAGAATGATAAATTTAACAACATGTTTATTACAGAAACATATGTATAAAAGTACTCCAGTATGGAGATAAAAACAAATACCTACATAAAAAGTTTGTAAATATACAATAATTAAATCCTCTTGGCGTCTGAGACACGTTTCGCCTGCTGTGCAGGCTTTTTCAGTTGGCATTCTGTGTCCATCTTTGTTCCATGTTTGTAGGGCAAACCCATCCTTTGTTCATCCAAAACTTCTAATTAACCAGTACTTCATGCTCCACAGAATGGAAAAGAGAGGGTAAAGAAATGAGGGTAAAGGAGGGAGAGAGAAGCAAAATATATGTTATTTGGTTTTAAAAGACACATCTTATCTTATAGTCATTTTTACTCTATTGGTTTAATGGCAGAAGACAATTCAGAGTAGAGATTTCTTAACTCAATGTAGTGCATATCTAAATAGATAAAAAATGAAGGTTGAACCATAAGGAAACAGCCTTATACATGACTGTAGCGGAACGCCAATATTAAATCCACGAATTCCGCTGGTTCAGGAAGTAATCCACAGTCAAGCGCTGGAAAAAGCAAGGCAATATCCCAAACCTCCCATTAACCAGACGAAACACAGTTCTGAGAGTCAACTGAGGTCTTTATTTTTAGCTCCACAATTTATACAAGTCCCCCTGCAAGGGGTTTCCTGAGTCCCCTCCCAGGGGCATTCCCAGAGGGGACTACATGGGGGACTTACTGTACAAGACAATTCTCCCATCAGGCACTGCTGCACGAGAGGGATCCTCCCACAGGAATGTACCGTTAAGTGGATTATCCCTCCGTGCAGCAGAACCGACAATTTACATTAAAATCCATAACTTTTCGAATATGCAGTTCATTTAAACGAATGGACTTTCGGTAGATAGCTGGGGTCTGAGCGCATCATTCGTGAGATTACCGCTCAGATCCCAGCTAAACCAACCGAACGCCGCACGAAAAACACATTCATTAAAATACGTGTTCAAAATACCGATTGCCTTCCAGGGAACAAAATACCGAGCGTCCCGGAACTCCAGAACGGCCTGGAAGCTCAGTGGTGTTCGCGCCGTCGAGTAGCCGTTTTTAGTACCATGCGTTCGACGACCAAACACCGCTGAGGGAACAAAGGATCCAAGATGGCCGACCGCCGCATGGTCGGTAGTCGAACGGCGGCCACCTGGGAGAGACTCTAATTACCGATTGCAACATTGTTGCAATCGGTTAACAAGTGCCACACGCCTCTAAATGTGTGGGCTACTACATGGGGTATTTTCGGTTCACGAACGGCCCGCAAAAGTGCCGTTCGTGAAACGAAAGAAAATACAGTACATACAGCTATCTGCATTCGGCAGGTGGCCAATACAGCAAATACACGTTAATTACAACCAGCATCCATTCTACATAGTTAAGCACATATCCCACAACCATACAGGCAACCCTTAAAGGCACAGTCTCTTTATATTGTCCAAGTGGCTATGTTTGCCACAATGACTACCTTTACAAAAAATTAAGAAACAATAAAATAAATAAATAGTTTGTGGTTAAGATTTATAAAAAATGACATTCAAAATCCACATTGAGTCTGTGAGGGGTAATAGTATTCATATTGAAAATCCACCTCATCTCGTCTCTACCTAATTCTTTTGCTATATCCCCACCCCTCCAATTGGTGCACACTTTTTGAATTCCCCAAAATTCCAGTGATTGTGGATTGTTATTGTGATGTATTTTATAATGCAGTGAGACATTATGCTTTTCCTACCCTTTTTTTTATATTTCTCGTGTGTTCCCCAATTCTAGTGTGGAGGGGACGTTTTGTTCTCCCTATATACACAAGATTGCATGGGCATCTAAAGGCATAAACTATTTTTTGTGTGACACGTAATTAGTTCCTTCATTTTATACTTTTTCTTATGCTCATGAGGGTCTTTAAAATCTGTTATGTGTCTCTTCACATTGTTAGTGTTTTTGCAGGCCAAACAAATTCCACAGCCAAAAAAACCTTTCTTTTGAAAGAAAGCTGGTTTTGGTGTTTTTTTTTTTTTTTTTATGTGATTGTGTACCAATTGTTTTTTTTTGAGGTTTGGTGCCCCTTTATACACTATTTTAGGTTTTTCTGGTAGGATTGTACTCAGAAGGTTATCGTTTCTAAGGATTGTCCAGAATTTGTTAAAGATCCTTTTTATTCTTCGACTGCTTTTGTTATAATTACATATGAAAGGGATCGTGTCTGATCTTACACCTGTCTCCTTTGGTTTATATTTTAATAGCTGCTTTCTATCCAATTTCTTTATTTCCTTTATGTTGACTTCTAGATCTTCTTGTTTATATCCCTTTTCTATGAAGTTCTTCCTAATTACATTGGCCTGAGTATCGTACACTTCTATGTCTGTATAGTTCCTCTTCATTCTTAGGAACTGGGACTCTGGTACATTTCTCAGCCATGCGTCGTGGTGGCAACTACTGAGTTGTATAAAGTTATTGACATTCACTGTCTTAAAGTGTGTTTTTGTCTTGATCTGGTTCTTTTCCACAAATATACATAGATCTAGAAATTGAACCGATGTCTCGCTAAAGTTTGTGGTCAATTTTATGCCCCGAATTATTTGAATTGAGGTGGTGTAGGAATAATTCCAGATCTTACACCTTACCCCTCCAAATAAAAAACAAATCATCAATGTGTCTGCGATAGGTCACCAGATTCGCAACCCAGCCATGCCCTCCATGTACAAACTGGGACTCTCAATATGACATGAATAAATTGGCATAGCTGAGCCCGAACCTGGTCCCCATTGTATTTCCGCATACGTGCAGGAAGAACGCGTCCTGAAACCAAAATAATTATTGGTAAGTATAAGCCAAATTCCCTCCAAAATAAATTTAATATGATTGGATGGGAATTTTCCTGACTTTAAAAAAAAAAAAACCTTGTAGCGTCACACCCTTTTTCTTTTTTTTTTAAATTTTTTTATTTTTGCAGTGCAAAAAAAAAAAAATCATAACAGTAGGCGTGTGGTGCCCCAATAGCATTCCTCACGCTGATTATCAACAGTTTTAACAATGGGGTTTTCATAAATCCTTGCACATTTTTTAGTTTATGTCGAGATTGTCCACGTTTAAACTTTACGCTGAGTATACAGTTAAAATGTGGTCCTAGTTCAGCTGAGTAGGTCTAACGAAACCTTGGCGGCACAGTGCGTTCTAAGCTTTGTAGAGCTTTCGGTCTAGTCGCTTGCTTATCTAGCTGCTCTAGGACATTTGAAAAAAATGTAACATCGCTAACTGTAGTACTTCAAGTTATACAGTTAAGTCTAGACCATACAACAAGTTGCGTGAAACAATACTAGATCGGCATACGTTTAAAAGTAGACAGTTGTTGTAGAGATAGTTACGCTAG